ATAAAAAAATGAAATGTAGCCAAATGATGTGCCAATTTGCATAAATGCTGCTGAAAATTTCTCTACTTAAGTGGCGCAAAGGTGAAGAAAAGGAGAACACAGAACATGTTGCGACCTGAAACAGTAGATACAAGTACAAATAACAGGCAATCTTAGTGAATTGGTCCGATGAGATAAAAGAAACTTGTAGTTCCGGCTATCGAGAAGCAGAAAAATACACAAATTCAAATATTTTTAATAATGTAATATGAACCTGGACTTTTGTTTTTTTTACTTTAATTTCATGAGTTAATGACGTGGAAGGACACAAAATTACATTAATCATCTCATTTAGGAGAATACTCTTAATAACGTAGTACAGTATCATGTTCGTAGTAAATATAATCACCTCTTCCTACCTGACCTTAGTTCTCATGCTTGATTTGCATTTTGAAAGCCAAACTAGCGTATCAATTATCTTTCATGTTAAGAGGCGCAATTCTTGTTAATTATTACTACTTTTTTCTACTCTGAATCATATCCTCTACATGATTTTCTCTTTTTCCGTCTCTTTTGAATTTCTTCTGAACATTTTGTTGTATTCTATAAGCACAAGAAACATGAGTAAAGTTCTTGCTGCTACTTCTGTAATACTCATTCCATCTTATAAAAATAACTTATATTATTAATTTTCAATTTTACTATTTTCGATAGAATTAATGTGGACTATTTTTGTGAGATTAAGAGAGTATTACGTGGTATATTTATTCCATCTAAGCTCAAAGGTAAGTTTTCGAAACACTTTTAATTTTCCCCCAACAAGATACCAAATCACTCTAAATGCATGCCAAGATAATTTCATGTTATGCTCTTGTTCATATTCATACAGACACAACTAGCGATTTCTTTCAATTGCAATAGAAACTTGCCTTAGATTTCAGCTACTCATCAACAACTCCAAATCTTCCATAAGTTTTTTTTTCAAAACAAAGAAAAGTCATCTTCTACCATAGACAACAACGTTGCTAAACTCTGCATCATGGTAATAGACCTTGCATGTTACCATGATATGCTTTTGGGACCGAAATCGGAGATCTTTTCCCCGTTACAGAAGTCGTATTTTGAGTTCCAAAAGAGTGCTTGAGTTCCTTTCTATAAATTCCTTCTGTCACAAAATTATTGTCGAGTTTGAATTTTTCATTTCTAATTTAAATTGTACTAAAACTAAAAATATAAACTGGACAATAATTTTGAGACGGGGTGAGTATATATGTTTTAGACATTTCACATTCTCATCTCCTTGTTGCTCCATCAGTTGGTGCTGCCTTCGTGTCAAGTAATCGCCGTGCCGTTCTTTCAGCTGTCGACGGCCTTTGTTTTTCGATGTCCGATTTGCGAGAAATATTAGAAATAGAATATCTATCTATCCGTGTCCATTGATAGGGTATCGGGTAGGACATTCTATATCAATATAATTTGTAGTACTTTTTGGGTATTAATTGCGACATTTAGAGGTATTTTTCAGTTGCTAGAGCTGATAATTCTAGGCTGGTAAATTTGTCACGATCTTATTTCACAGCTTAGCTTATCTAGTGTTTGTTTATAATTTTTTCAGTATAATTTTTATCATGATTTGTAAGACAAAGTTTTGAAAAAAAGTTTACTGAAGTTGATATTTAAAGTATGAATTATTATGAACTTATAACCAAGTAAGCCAAGTAAGCCATTTAAGGAAGTAAAACAGTGGAAGCCTTTGCGGAAGTAGGTTAAAAGGGAGGGAATAAACAGTAAACATCGATCCAAGCTCCGGCTAAAGAAATAAATCGGCTAATGTAGATTTGGAGGCCCAATTGGAAGCCTATTAAAGCAACCAAATGTTATCACACCATTAAATGGAAACCTTAACCACCCTTGCGGAACAGCGGAAGCAGCTAGCTCAAAAGGGAGGGAATAAACAGTGAAATTATTATTATTATTTTTTTTTATTATTATTATTATTATTATTATTAATGTTGCTTAGTCTGCAAAATGAATATGAGATCGAACATGAAATACTTGGATGAGGGAGCGTTAAAAAAACACAACATGGTGAAGAAAAAATCACCAAATACGCCACGAGATGAGAAGAGCTAATCGATGTGCGTATAATGGATTTTGACGTTTATTGATCAAACTTTGTATAAGTTTAAACTAGTCTTTTTATACTTTTCGAAATGACTGTTCAATATTTTGTGTTTCTAGATTTAATTACTCCTTCCGTCCCATAATTATTGTCCAATTTTATTAAAATGAAAGATTTTATTTTTGGTCAACTTAACTATATTTTACCTTAAATAACCGGATATACCCCTACGTAAGTAATTGTTTAACCACTAAGATTTTATGGATAATATTTTTTACTAAGGACAAATGTGTAACTTGATCCATAAAAAGTCAAATTGGACAATAATTTTGGGACAAAATTTTTTGGGCAAAGTGGACAATAATTATGGGACGGAGGGAGTACATTAAAGTGTGAGTGGAACATAAAATTTTTTTTTTTTTTTCTGTTTTCTCCTAAAGTTTAGAAGAAGAAAAAATGAAATCATCACAAACTTTACGACAATTTTCTTACGTGTAGAAGCAAACATAATGCAAATTCGCCAGACAGTAAACTAACAAAAAGAGAAGTTTGCCTCTGTTTTTTTTTTTTTCTTCTAACCTTCAAATCTTAACTGCATTACATGTGAAATGGAAATGTTTAAGAAGGACACAGTTTTCTTGGAGGAAAAGTTAGAACTGGGAAAGGCATATACGATAGACTTCTTTTGGCAATTTCTCTTTAATTAGTTTAATTAGTTTTCATCGAGTAAAAATTAGAACTGGGAAAGGCACAATAGTAATTGATCTGATTGGTAGTTCAGTCATGTAGTTCACTCTGCTCTGTATAAGTAAGATCATATGTACTTGTCAATATATTTTATACATCTGGAGTGACATGGAAATTGGAATAACTCCCAAAGCAAAACCGGGCTGAGAGGATCGCTATGGCGATGTAAGCATCCCCTTCTCATTTGGCATCGAAGAAGGTTGTTATCTTGATCAAAATTCAAATTTCCGTCTTGATTAGTGACGAAACATGGATCTGCACGGTGTTTTAGGACGGACGACGATAATGACTTAAGTGGCGGCAGATGGCCTAAAACCTGCAAGACAGAACCTCGGGTGTCTCTCGAGGGTAGACTCTCCGATACTTAAGTCAATAAAGGAATAAAGATAATAGAAAGAGAGAGATATGTATCATGTGAAGGTGTAGAAGATATGTAGAAGATGTGTATTATGAGAGAGACACCACCTCCTGTTTCTTAAAACCCTAGCAGAATAGTTTAGGCGGTGACTTTATCTCCAAGTAACCTAATCCTAACCCTAATAGGTCCTAAGATTAATTTATGACTCGTCAATTAGGAATCTTCCACGCCTAATGGGAAATACAGAGAATGGTCAAGGTCCAAGTACAGGATTGCAAGAGCAAGATAACAGCAAAAGATCAGAGTATTATCCAAAGTTTGTTTTGTTAGTAGAGACAGTCTATATAAATGGGCTTGAAAATAGAGCTTTTTGGAAGGGAACTTGTACTCCAATGTTACATCAGCAAAAGTCAATATAATTTACAGTTTTTACTAAAATAAAAATTAATGGAAGTAACAGATCGAGATTGGCTAAGATAATCATCATGAATATGCATTTGAAGATCGTTGCTCCGGAGATACGTTCAACCACAAGCAAAAGTTAAAAAGATACTCCCTCCATTCACAAATAGATGTCGCTGGAGAAATTTCACAAAGTTTAAGGAGGCAATAATTATCTTGTTAAAATACTATAATACCCTCATTTATTCTCAATTAAATTGTAGTCCCAATAAAATTCACTTCTAATACAATTCTACATTAAACATCACAACAATTTCCAATGTAAGGGTGATATTGGAAAAAATTGACAAAATATGCCTCGATTTGTGAGAACGACATCTATTTTGGAATATTTGAGTTTTCCTCCAACGACATCTATTTGTGAATGGAGGGAGTAAGTTATAAGATTGAGACACCAAAATAATATCTATACGAATAAAAACAGATTTAGAACCAAAAGAATAATAATAATAATAAGTTATTGGATTGAAACTTTATTCTTAGCCAATTACACTTCATAAGTACTTCTTATATATAAATGATTATTGTATGGATGTTGATATTGTCAGGATAAATATTAGCAATCTTTTTTTTTGCCCTGGATGCTATTATTTGTCCTGGCATTATCATGACCTTTATTGTATTTGTGGAGATTAATGCAATTGGAGTGATTTAGGCATATATTTTCAAATTTGGTATATTTAAAATAGAATAATATATTTATGTAATTATCGGGAGTAGATGAATCACGAATGTAGATGACATTTAGATCCTTATTCATGCATTAAACAAAAGTTAAATAGGTAACCGTGGTATGAAAAGTGAGATTTGGGTTTTTTACCAAATTTGTGTAAATAATTATGTCACGTATGCTCAAACTACGAGTTAACAAATTTCGTTTTAATGTTAATTAATTACACCCACAATACGGGATGCGTTTATATACTTTACCTTAATTTTGAATGTGAGATCGATAGTAATTGGGTATACTTAATGTTGATTAATTAAGATAATTAGTATAATGAGATGTAGTATTCTTATCTATAACTAATATTAACTAAACTAACAAAATGTTGAAACTTTTTTTTGGCCTAAATATTTAGAAAAATGCCAGGATAGATTTTTTTTTTCTATGTGGAACTCTAGACATCACTTTTATTTTCTTTCTCTAATTTCTTTTAATATAATATTATAGATGTATTGGACAATGAAATACAGTTACATATCATAACTGTAAGACATTCTAAAATCACACAAATCATGGATAAAATATTCTAATGCAATTAAGATGTAATTACCAAATCAAATACTTTACAATAATGACTTCTTTTTCGATCCAGTCGAATTTCATTGCTCAAGTTTGTAAATTCTGAAGATAGTCCCAAAAAAAATAAATAAATAAAATAATTAAAAAAAAAATGAAAGAAAGGAAAAAAAGAAAGCAAACGTATATATGTCCATTAAGTTGGGCTCATTCCAGGCCAGAATAACAAAAACTTACCTCTTCCTCAAGAGGGAATATACACTAAAGCCAGCACTAAACAGAAAAATAAAATAGACTGGATAACTGTACCAATTTTGTTACTGATAACATGGGAAGAAAACAGTGATAGACAATGTTAGATGTGTGTGTTAATTAGATAGAAACGCCAAGTAAAGCATAAGCAACAGCAGGAGTCTTCCGATGCCTGATGACTTCTCTTGGATTTGATGGATGTTGCAAGGATTCATGGCTTCCAACGGCACTCTTTAATAAGTAATTCTAAGCCTTTTAACACCACCACCAGGCCCAGCACGGTATGTAGCATTGTCAGCACCCGCAGCAGCGGCATCAGCACTGTCAATAGTATCTTCAACCACCCCAATAGGAGAGCTGACTGGGGCATCGGCAGAAACTACTTTGCGGTTCGACTGGCAAAAGGGGACAAAAAAGAGGAAAGAATATAACTCATTCAGTATCCACCGGCATAAATGAAAACACTTTAATGTCTGAAGATATGATTAGGAACAACCACGACCACTATTAGGATCCTAAAATTTGCAAAAAAATCAATTAGGTACCAAACCCTATAGAAGAGATGACATAAATCTAATTCATAACCACAGTTTCTAACCAACATATTAACATATGAGTGATAAACTTTGCTTCGCAAAGAAAGACATTGTTCACTCACCTCCTGTACCCGCAGCAATAGATAGAAAGTAAGACCAAAAATCTTTGGGGGGATTATGTTCATCATAAGAGGGTGAAACTCATCCACAGAGACTTCATCTTTCTGAAACAGATAAAAGAAAATAATGACCATAACTAAGGGCAGCATGTTTGCAAAGTTGAAAGCAATAAACAAACGCGAAATCTCACTGCTAGTTTCATGCAAAGAGTACTAAGCAGCACTGCATTGTCCTCCTCAAGTCGAGGCTCAACAGCAGATAGCAAAAGGGGGATAGGCACTTCCCTCCAACTTTTACGTCGAACAATTGACTTTTGTCCACTACTAGCCTGAGTTGGATCTGGCTTACACTGACAAATAGAATACACAATTACAAACACTCTTGTGTAAATGTAATTAAACTATTCTGCCAATTAGAACAAAGATGTGCACAATACAGTAAAAGCAATTAAGACATAATTATCATTAACTAGTCAAACAAGCAAATGTTAACTTCCTATAAGACAACTGCGAAGAGATGTACATGGTATTGTATGTGGATGTGACGATGTATAAGGTGCAGGGCACTGTTGAAGCAAACTCAAACCAGCAAATGTTAACTTCGAAGGTTGACAAAAATATTCATTGTTAACACTAATTAGGGATTTAACACTCCTGAAATCAAAAATCAATTCTTCTAATAATTTCAACCATAGAAGATACATGAAACAATTGCAACTGCAGTAACATTTGACCAACTTTTCCCCTCTGTCAAAGAAGCCAGTCCTCATGCCCTTGAAAGCTTCAAATCCTTAACACATTTTAGCTACACAAATCTTTTTATACCATATGAAGATGGCAGCTAATTAATGTTTGAAAAATATTTTAAATGAGTAACAATAATGAACTCACTAAAACATTAAAGGTTATAATTTAGTTAGTTACCTTGGAAGAGGCTTCATCGGCAAGTGCAAGATCCCCAAACATAATGGGGACATTAACAGGGCCTAAACCAGGTTTTCTCTGAATCTTGAAGTCCTAAAAGACATAACAAAGAGCAACAAAATCAATAAGATTACAGCACAAAAACAAATCATAATTTATGGAAGAGAAACATACAGGAAACTGTCACAAGCTATCCAAGGAATGTAGCAGAGAGGGGCCCATACCTTAAATTTAGCGGAAAACCCAAGCTTTTGGATGAATAGAGCATACTGGAAAAGAAAAAAGGTGAAATTAAAACATATCTACATAAAACCAACCTACTAACACAATTCACAAAAAGAAATTTGTGCCTTGATCGAGACATTGCAAAAAGCTCAATCTTCTAATCTACATTCACTACGCACTCTAGTTCAGTTAATAAACAAGTTTGTTGGTAAACGGAAAGTTACAGGTCATAACATAAAAATTATTTGTTTTAACAGAAGTACATAATTAATTAAGTTCATTCAATCCCAAGAAAAAAGAATGTCTCAAGTGAATCCAAGAGAGTACTACCACTGCCACAAAACAAAGTGATACGATTATGCCAAATGAGATTTCATCAACTTCAACTTCAGATATGTTTTCTTCGGTTGTATCAAGAAGAACATAAAATTTTCAAAAATGACACAGTACAATAGCTATTCAATGTACCTTGCGAGCAACTAAATTTGAATGTTCCTCGTCCTTGGCTCCCATGCAAATCTGAGTCATCATAACAACAATTTATCCCTCAGAAACGCATCAAAAGAATATCTTAAGGACACAGCTTCAAAATCACGCACCCCCAAGCAAGACAAGAAATAGATATATTCAGAAATTGGTTTCTCAAACAGTCTCGGATAAACAAAAATAAAGAGTTTACCCAATCATCAACAAAAGAAAAGGCAGTATTGTAGGTGAAAACCATTGAAAAGATTTGAGATTCCAAAACTTATTAAGGAATGAACATTTATTTGCACGTACCATCATTCCAAAAGCATAAACGAACACCTTCGTGTTTGGCAGGGTTTTTATCCTGATGATTACAGCATCGATACGCTGAAACCACATCAACAAGTTAAAAAAGCATAAGGCACCATCAGCAATTGCTTCTTAAAAGAACATCAGGCAAACATAGGCAACTGGCGTAGTTAAGCAACACAGCTATTCAACAGGTTCACAATTTCCATATCGAACTCAAAAGATGAAATACAAAAGTGACAACTGCAGCAGGTATTTTAAGTAATTAGTAGCATCATGACATGCAAGAATTACAGTGAAGCAAAAACTATTGTCAGAAGCTCCGGTGCAGCTTTAATAGAAGTTACAGCCCAGAACTAATACTTGTAGTTTAGGTTTCCAAAGTGATACTAATAGGGTTATAAAGATGCAACAGAAACAACATCAAAACCTCATCGAAGCTTCAACAAATTATGACAGTTTTAACATCCATTTATCTCATTTCAAATATTCCCTTAGCCTCGTAATTTGATCAAGCCTCCTATGTGTCCTATTATCTCTATTATCTTACAGGATCACTAAAAGGAACACAGATGTTCGGCTGAATTCAGGTTTATCTCGTAACTAACGAGAATCAAGACAAAACCCTACAAAAATGTCAGCGGAACAAAGCAGTGATTCCCCTTACCTTTGGATTATATCTCGCAAGGCCGCCCGCCTTTGATGCAAGAGCGGTGAGGTCCACATAGCAGTCCAGAAAAACCGTCGATACAACATAGTCAGGAGTCGGGACAATTCGGATAAAATCCTCACTCCCAACTGAACCGTTACGATCTGCCATAGTCCAAATCTTCGATTTTTCTGCATCGAAAAAGCAAATTATATGAAAAAAAAAACAGGAATCAGAGGAACCAGAGGATCAGAGGACGAAACATTTACCTAAGGTTAGAATTGCGGAAGCGCGATTGCCGGGAAGGAACCGGGGTGAGCCTGGGGCTTTCTTTTATATAGATCAAACTTTTACGCATACGTCGATTGGCCCAGTAGTTGGAAACTGAATTTGGAATACTTCAAAATTTAATAAAATCAAAATTTGAAACCTGAAAAAGAAATATATATTTGAAGTTAGTAAAGTCTTTACTCCATAATTTTCTCTGCAAAAATTAATGGAACGTATAAAATCATCATAACAACGATAATAATATTATTATTTATTTATTACTTATCGAAAATCACAATGTTTTCTTTCTCTTTACTTTTCTCTCTTGGTGCACATTAGAACTGTTGCTATCGTGCTCTTGCCATGGAAAAGGGTAGAGGGAAGGCCAGGAAATCACAAAAGGAAACAAATTTGGAAAATGCCAAAAATTAAGCATCGATTTAGTGAAGAAGTCAGTAACCCATGAAGTTATCAATCAAGATCTGAAAGACCAAGTGATGCGAGTCAAAGTATCCATCTAAAAGCATGCTTAATTTCTTACTTGTAAATTATATTTTTTAGTTAAGAATTATTATTTCTGATTAGATAAAATGTCTAAACTATGGTCCGTTTGGTATATTGAGGGATTTTACTATGGTTTTAGGTGTGATAACTGGAAGGGTTTACTATGGGTATACCCATTCAAAATAGTTGTTTGATTTATAAAGGTTTAGGTATCATTTCATTTTTTTATATTTATTTTATTTAATTAATTAAAAAAATTAATAATTATTTATATTAATTAATCATTTTGAATAATCTCATTTATAATATTAAAAAAATAATTAGTTTGATTGAGTCCGAATAGCTATTATGATAATATAAAATCTAATACAATAAACAAATTTTGCGATTCAATCTCAGTTCAAATCATAAATTAATAAATTAGAATCATTCAATGATGGTGGTAACTTAAATACGACTAAAAAATTTCAAATAAAACATGAATTTTTTTTAAAAAAATAAGATGTCTATATTCAAACTCAAAAACATAAATGGAAAAATATATATATATATATATAATATCATTGCACTACTTTCTTCTTTCATAAAACTTGAATTTTATAATGAATACAATAATATTTTAAAAAACTTGAATTATATAAATTAAGAAAAATTATTTTTATAATATAATGTAATAAAAGATTTTTATACAGCATAAAATTGTCATGAAAACATAATGAGTTTAAGAGAAAAAAAAAAGTTAAATAATCGGGAATCAGATCAAAATCCACCAGGAGGATTTCTAAATAATAAGGACAGTCCAATCACGTCGATTCGAAACCCATCAACCAAACACTAATAATAGGAGTCATTCCATTCCTTCATTCCATTACGCATCAACCAAACACCCCTTTAGTGCAAATTGGTGAAGTTTTGGATAGTAATCGAAAAAGGGCTGATTGGACCAATGGTGTAAACCCGAGAAGAAGAAGAAACTAACAGGAGTAGCACAAAGAAGCTGCAAATCAAGTAAATCTTCAAGGCTAAGGAAGGATAGAAGCATGGAGATGATGTGATGTTGCTAATTGCAAAGAAGGAAGAGATGTGTGCCATGCTTGATTGAAGTGAAGGAAAAGGAATAGGGGAGGCATGGCTTGCCCCTAAATCAAGGAATCGACTTTGACTCTTTGATAAAGTGAAAACCAACGAAGCTAAGCAAACAATCTCCTCCGACCTTTATAAAAAGAGGAAGATCAGCAGCAAGAACACATCAGACACAAGAGAGGAGAGAGTTAACCATCTATAGTACGAAAGAATGTAGAGAGAGACAAAGGGAGAGCATCAATGAGGAGCATGACTTTGGGAAGTCAGAAGCATGACTTGGCGAAGTTTCATGGGCTAAATAGAACACCCCTGAGTTCTTTCTTTCTCTAGCTCTTTCCTTTGCTTTGTATTCATGTTAAATACTTTGTTATGCATTCTTTTGTATTTGTGTTTGTATCTATAAGTAGTTAACTCTGTCCTTTGAATCTATGTAGTTGCATTTATAAATTAGCATTCAGATGATATTTGTGTGTCTATACTAGAGTTTGAATTAAACTTTTGATTAGCATGATCAACTAGTCAATTGTGAATGCAAGTTAGGGGAATTCCGGAAGGGTAAACCTAACTTAGAACTTCTAGTATTAGCCGGCGACGAGGCGGTAACATGCCAATGTTTCAAACATCAAAGGAAGTTAGTTATAAGGCTGCTAATTCTGGCGGTTTGAGAGGTTCAGGTGAAGTTCGGTTTAGGTTAATCGGATTTTTCTCCTTACAAAACCCGCCAAAAGCTGAACAGAAAAATATATTTCACCGAACAGAACCGACCGATTAAACATTTGGATTTTCGGTTCGTTGCCTGATTCAACCGAAACAAATACAAAGTTTTGTGCATTTCTTCATCCTTCCGCACCTTAAAAATCCCACCATCATCTTCAGATCTTCCAATGTTCCTGGCTTTCTTCCTCAACCTACCCCCTTCACATTCCGAAACGTACACACAATCAACAACACCTCCTTTCTTGCAATTTATATACAGATCTTCTATGTAAGGCGAAAAAATCCACATCCCTTGCTCATCGAATCCAGAAAAATAAAATAAATTTACCTCCAAATTCATATTAATCCCTCCAATTTCTCTTCCTCTGCTCTTTTTTTCACCATTCTTCAATTTTTGCCCGCTCAATTCTCACTTTTTGTTAGTTGCTACGGATCTCTGATCTTCTAATTGATCAATAAAATATTACAGATCTGGAAAGTAAAAATCATATTTTTTTTTTAGAGGCGATGATCAGATTAGTGGTGGTTTTGGATGCGATGGTCAGATTGGTGCTGGTGGAATTAGTGGATTGTGGAGGTGGGAGGTGGAGGTGGGTGGTGGAGCCATGGAGGTAGAGGTGGGGAGTGGAACCATGGAGGAACGACAACGAATGTCAATTAATTAAATGGAGGTGGAGGTGGGAAGAGCTAGCGACTAGAAAAGAAAAAAAATGGGTAACCCTAATATATCTAATACATATATTCAATATATAGCATAAATATTTTTTTTTAAAAAAGGGAAGGGGGCATGTGGTATCACATTAAATGCATGTAGCTACAACCACTTAATGTTTATAGTATAATAACTCGGTTAACAGTGACTTTTCTACTTAGTCAACTTATGTTTCCATTTGCCGCCAGTAATACAAAGGGATAGGAGGTTGTGGAAGCTTGTGTGGTAGTGGAGGGGGCCTCAGAAAATCTGGCAATTCTTTTGGTTGATTTCGAGTGAGAGGTTGCTGACCAACTCGAAGCGGCATCACCGGCATCTTACAACAAGCCGTATGTGTGAAATATGTGGAGTTGCAGCAGAGACAGTGGTACATGTAGTTAGAGATTTTCATCTTGCAAGGCAAGTGTAGAAGGAAGAGGCTGCTTCCGTTGCATGTACAACACTTACTTTTTAGTGTTCCATTTGCTGAATGATTACTTAAAAATTTGAGCAACGATTTTGATATTGGATGTGATGGTTGTGAGTGCGTGAGTGGGGTGGCTGTGTGGTGTCTATGGTTGGCCAGGAATGCATGTATCTTTCAGAATGTTGATTTTTGTGAGCACCAGCAAATGAGGGAGATAAAATCCATGCTTTAAGGATTAAAGCATCTATGTCTCTTGATAGTTTGTAGGGAGGATCTGGGATGTTTAGAGTGCCTCGATATACTAGATGGGAGGCACCACCGATGAGATGGGTGAAGGTGAATACAGACGGGAAATTAATCATTTGACTGGTATGGCAGCTACTGGGGGGGGAGGTAATGCACAATTCACATGGAGGCTCGCTAGGAGGATTTATTTGTAACATTGGGTATTGTATGATCACCAGGGCAGAGTTTTGGAGTTTGTTTTATGGATTACAATAGGCTTGGGATTGTGGTTGCCGCCAGGTCATAATAGAAGTGGATAATAGTTGTGTAATGAAGATGGTTGTGAATTTAGCAGAACTAGTGGGCTTTTATGGTAGCTTCGTTGGGGCCATTAAGGAGTTGCGAAGTCGCTAATGATGTGTGGAAGTTAAGCACGAGTTTAGGGAGGCTAACTTTGTTGTTGATTGTCTAGCCTCTATTGCTGCATCAAGTCCAGGCGGTAATAAAAAATGATTTACGAGTGAAGTGAGGCCGTGGCTATCATGATATGATACGGGTTTCCTATCTATGTAACTAGTATGTAACCCGTGCGTTGCACGACGGGTATTAAGATATTATTATATGAGAAATGTATAAAAAATAATATTTATTTTTCATGTAATAGTTAAGTATAAAAATAGAATCACATTTTTATTGTAAAATTATCGGAATTGCGACTGGCCCTGCCTCTTATCGATTGTCATCGCAAAACATGTGATGATTGGGAATTGCCTTCGCTTAGGAGGATTGGGAATTGTGTACACTTAAAAAGAAGAACTGACGAATCTCATTCCGTCTTTATTTTCATCTTTCCATCTTTATTTTGTTGACAAACTATTGACCAAGAAATGAAAAAAGAAAAAACAAAAAAACCAAACATTACTTACTTTTCTAAAAAATTCTTCAAAAGTGTTACCTATTTTTGAAAGGGTTGTCTTTTAGGGTTTTTATTCTATCTTTATTTTCATCTTTAACAGTATATCATTTTATAATGTTCTGCATAAAAAAAAATTCCTAATCTTAGGTAGGTTAAAAACCAGCGTTGATTTCGGCTGCAATTTTAGTTTTTTCTAACAATCCGTTAAACAAAAAAAAAAAAAAAAAAAGAAAAAGAAACGACATTAACTCATTCCATCTTCATTTGTATTTTTTCATCTTCGTTTTTGACAACCCGTTGAAAAAAAAAATGAAAGACCAAGCATTATTTACCTATCCAAAGAAAAATTATTCAAAAAGTGTTATCTAGTTACTTGTCCAAAAACATTTTCAGGACTTGGACACGGATGTATTGCACGACAAATATTTAAATATATATTTTGGAATCTCATTTTTTTTATACCATATCCAAAAGCAAACGAAACTCTTCTCTTGATCTAAACCCATTAAAACCATCACCACTAATCACCCCAAAATTTCAAATATTATCAAATAAACTGATGTTATCGAAATAAACTCATGCTGCATTTTTTCTTCTATTTATCTAGCATATCATCTTTTATATAACATCATATAAAAAGAATTAGGATGGTTTATAAACACAAAATATTCCTGTATTTGTTGCTAACATTTCTCATTTTAGGGCAGATTCTATTCTCACTATTGGCCTGATTTTAGGCCTTTTATACTTCTTGGACATAAGGTACAATTAAGACTTTGAGTTTAATTATAATGTTCCCATTTAATTAGCTGTTATTAACATTTATAACTTTAAAAATTCTTCTATGT